GCTAGGGGTATCTCCCTCTTTCTCACCTAATGTGGGGTTTGGAGGCCCAGGCATGACTGGAGGGATTCCTTCCCCTTCACCCCTTCACTCACTCCCAGGGCATCAGGCCCAGGCATAATTCTCTGCCTCTTCCTGCCTGAAAAACCACCTGGCTTTTTCCCAGAGATGCCTTGCTGGAGAACCACCTGTCCCACATGAAGGTCATAACTTCTCCATGCCCCTCCTGCGGGCTCTGCAGGCCTCACAAACACACAGATGGGCCAGGGCATAGTGGCTCTTCACTTCTAGGTCCAGAAAGCAGGTTCTAGAGCCAGTGGAACAAATGGGTTGTGGACAGTTCCCCTACAAAGCCTTATCCAGGATTTGATCGCTATGCAAATGTGAGACCACTGGTCTGGCAATTGCACTGGCTGTCTGTCATCACCTTGTTGGCCCTGTTCTCAGCCACCCTCCCCTTAACCCAACTCTAGCATGGTGCAGGACAGTCTCCTGGGATGGAGCCTCTGCCTCTGGCCACGGAAACCCCAGACGCTCGCCACTTTTCAAACCCACAGGCCGACCCTGAACGCAGGCCATACACTACTCAGACACACCACAAACTTGTGTCCTAGATCCTGAGATTTATGGCTCATGTGTGGGATTTTTTATTTATTTATTTTTTTTTATTTTTTGCTAGGATTTGACTGGCAGATGAGGGCTTGTTAACCATGGGAAGCCACAGATTCCCTCTCTTCTCTCAATTCCTTTGCCTTCTCTGTCACTTCCACCAGCCAGTCAAACTTCTACGAGCCCCCTGGGCCAGGCACGACAAAGCAAAGCAGCTAGCTAATGCTCCAGACACATTCCCCTGACCCCAGGCCCCAGAAATGCCCATCACATCTTGGCACCTGGGAAGCTAAAATCGAGACTGTTCTGGAGATAATGGGTGTTCTCTGCTTTCTCCCCCTGGGTGTTCCTTGCTCTAAAAAGGGCTGGCAGAGCTGCTCCCGAGGCTGGCTGCTAAGCCTCCTGAGGGTTGGAAGAGTGAAGGCAGCTGGTGTGTGTGTGACTCAGGTTCTGCTGAGTCACGCTGTCAGGGCTGAGCCTGTGGGAGTCAGCAGGTGACCTTGGCTAACTCCCCAAAGGCAGGACGTAGAAACAGAGACTTAACTGGTGTTAGATAATACAGTAGATGTTGGCCCCTGCCCACAACCCCCTTACTAGCACATGCTCTCATCCCTCACTGCTGTAGGTGTTTGCCGCTGGGGGCTCAGAGCTGCCCCTTCTCCAAAGGCATGTCCCCTGCCCTCAGCCCTCAGGGGCTATTTGCCCACACTCCACAACCTCTGGGGGAGAGGAGGCCTCCAGAAAATGGATGACCTATGGGGAGTATAGAAGGTGTCTCCGACACTGGCATAACTCTGGTGCCATCCACCTTGGGCTTCTTCCCCTGCCCTGCCCTGCTTCTCTCACTGTCTTGGGATGTGCACCTGAGAGCAGTCCTCCAAGTCACCCGGGTAAGAATCCTCATCTCAGTCTCTACTTTTAAGGAACCTGACCTAAGACAGGAAACATTCCACATTGCGCTTCTCTCTTCCCCTCTCCTCTTGGGTTTGGGGCAGGTTGGGAACCCTCGTGCCCACGCGGCTCTCCCTAGTTTGGTTCCGATTGCGTTGGCTTCTTTTTCCTTGCTGTCCAAGTGAGGGAGTGGAGCATGAAAGGGTTAGGTAGTTTTTCATGGGCAGGGGGGAGCGAGGCACGGGCCTGGGAGCCCCAGGATGGGATTCCGCACGGCCAGCAATGCCCACGCCAAAGTCCTGGAAAGTGAGTGAACAAGAGAGAAGCATCGGAGAGGAAACCCCACTGTAGGCAGAGGAGAAAAGCAGCAAAACAGGGGAAAGACAAGTTCCCTTGGATGGGATGGGGGCCAGTCAACCTCATTCCTCTCTACAATGTCACCCACTGCACACAGGTCCCATCATGTGGGGGCCAGAAGGGATCCTCTGTTGGCCTTTCCCAGGAGATGGGGGTGGCCATGGGGGCAGCAGACTTTCTTTATTCACAGCTGCCATTTATTGAGCAGTTACTATGGGACAGGCTCTGTGCAAAGTGCTGCCCATGAATTCTTTTACCCTCACCACAATCCTTTTAAGAGGAAATTGAAGTTCAGAGAGAGCCCCAGTGCCATAGCAGTTGTGGGTTATCCTCCTGGGGTGGCTGATGGGGCCTGAGGTCAGAGATAAGGCTCTGGTGCTGGTTACACCTCCTGCTGTGTGGCCTGTGTGAGTCTGTTAGCCTCCCTTAGCCTCAGTTCCCTAGTCAGTAAAATGGGGATAATAACCTCACTGGGAGGAGCAAATGAGACTACACGTGTGAGTGTACTGTGTGAAACACTAGGTGCGTTTCAGGAATTGGCAATAATTGGGTCCTGCTAGGGGCGCCTGGGTGGCGCAGTCGGTTAAGCGTCCGACTTCAACCAGGTCACGATCTCACGGTCTGTGAGTTCGAGCCCCGCGTCGGGCTCTGGGCTGATGGCTCGGAGCCTGGAGCCTGTTTCCGATTCTGTGTCTCCCTCTCTCTGCCCCTCCCCTGTTCATGCTCTGTCTCTCTCTGTCCCAAAAATAAATAAACGTTGAAATAATTGGGTCCTGCTAGAGGCTAGCCACGGTTCCGAGCCCCTGAAACGTATGAATTCATTCTATCCCGCCAACAGCCCCATGAAGTAGATGCTAGTATCCTCCCTATTCTCCAAATGACAAAGCTGAGGCATATACAGAAGTTAACACATTTGGCAACTGACAGAGCCAGACTCTGGAGGGGAAGGTCAGGCAGGCCGTGTGACCCCCCCCCCCCCAGACGTTGGACTCTGGTAGCAGCAGGACAGAAGACTTGCACTTCCCCCACCCCTCCAAGCCACCGTCCTTGGAGGTCAACTCCAGGGCCCCCTCCTTTAGGAGTGCTTTGCTGCCTTCCTCAGCTCACAATGACACACTCCAGACACTCAGAACAGCACCGTGCTAGAGAGGGTCACTTCCTGCCTGCACTGGTTCCCTGATTAGGGAGTAGACTCTGCCTCTCTCATCTCTCTTAGTAGCTTGAAGGCTCCTTGGATGAAGGCAACACAGCCACATCTTCCCTTGACTCACCAGGCTATCCCAGCTCCTAGCCCCAGGTAACTTATCCCAGGGCCTGTCATAGGCTGAGCCCCTCACTGCAGACAAATGATGACAAGGTGATATTTCCCTGGAGAACTGGCCACCAGTGGGAGAAAAAGCCCATCCCTCTCGAGGAAATAAGCAGCTTTCATGCCCCAAGGCCAAGCCCACCTCTGATACCAGGGTGCCGCCCTGGCCTCATGTTGGCTCTGGGACACTTGTGTCCACAGCATCCCAGCTGGGCTCCCAGGTCCTTGTGGGGGGCAGAGCATCAGGAGTGTACTGGAGCAGCATCTAAGGTCATACAAACCTAGGTGTTGAACATTCCAAATTCCCTCAGGACTCAGTGCAAAGCCAGGTAGAACATGGAAGTCCCCTCCGTTCACTCCTCGGCCAGTGACGGAGAAGCAGTCCTCTGCCTCCATGGAAGAAGCCTAGGGGTGAGATTCTCTATACCCCCACTGACTGGTTCCAATCTTGCCCAAACCGTGGGATGTGGAAGGGCAGTTCTTCCCCATAGCTAAAGTGATTGTCTGCAATTTTAGCACGAGACTCACAGGACTGCCAGCAATGCGTGTTCTTGCCTTCCACTGCTTTAGCAGATGTGGGTGTACGAGGACCACCTTTCAGAGAGGACCAACTCGCTGAGGGCGGTGCCCCTGCATGTGTTTTCAAGTCACCAAGTAGGTGCTGACCACAGGCTGACAGGGTGTCAGAGAGTAATGAGACAGAGACCCCGCTCCTTGCGAAAGTCCCACTGACTTTGCCATTGCCGGGCCCAACAGCAACAGGGGCGAGGCCCACTGTAACCCAGCCCTGCTCACTGGCCTGGGGAAAGGCAGAGGATCTGGAGTCAGGTTTAGGGCAAAGAGCCCAGACTGGAGAAGACTCAGCTCTGCCACATTTATGAGGAGTTACTTAACATCTCTGAACCCTAACATCTTTATCCCTCAAGCAGAAGTCAGAATATATACCTCAGTATGGACATTTGTATACAATAACAAAAAAAGCACTTTGTAAGCTATAAATTGTACACCAATTTAAGACATCATAGCAAGAGTAGATTATGACACATCTGGGAAGTTTTCCTCTAAATTATACATAATCAATTACCTTGAACATGTTCCAAAATGGTGTAGTGGTTAATGGCCTTTATGGCCAGAAAGACCCAGGTTCAAATCCTGGTTCTGCCAACTCACAGGTTGTATTATGTAAGCGCTCAGAGCCTCGGCTGGATAATGTGCCAGGAGGACCCAAGATCGGACATGGGGAGCGTACTTAGATTAAGGGTCTCTATGATTACAATGGGATTAGTGGAAAGAGTTCAGCCTGGAGTTCTTCATCCTCTCATAGAAGACTTGATCTGTCTGTGCTTTCTGGAAAGAGGAAGCCAAAGTCCCAGAGCCTAAGAAATTGCTTAGAAGTTGCATGGCCCGGACCCAATAGAGGTGGCCTGGGAACGGTGGGAGAGATCCCTGTGGTGGCAGTGGCCTTCACAATCAGGGGCTTCCCATCTTCCGGGGAGTTATTAGTATGAAGATTCCTAGGCCCACCCTGCCTAGAATTTCTGGCTTAGTAGCCAGCCTTTTCTTCTTCTTCTTTTTTTAATGTTTATTTATTTATTTTGAGAGAGAGACAGAGAGACAGAGAGAGAGCAGGGGAGGGGTAGAGAGAGAAGGAGAGAGAGAATCCCAAGCCCTGACTCGGGGCTCAATCTCACAAACCATGAGATCATGACCTGAGCCCAAGAGTTGGATGCCACCGACTGAGCCTCCCAAGTGCCGTGTAGCCAGCCTTTTCTCAGCCTAAGAAATACTTCTCCCCAGGTTGCCTCCCATCCCAACAGTGGGGCCATCCAAAGCTTACCTGGAAGGAAGGGGATGATTCTCTGCTTGGGGTCCTTCTGGCCACCTTCAATGGGAAACTTATCCAAAAGCTGCATCTGAGAAGCCAGACAGACAGAGGTACAGGATTCAGAAGACTGGAAGAGCCCTCAGAGTCCCTTCCCCATTCCACTCCACTGCTCCAGGGCCCCACTGCCCTCACACGGATGAGTGACACCTCAATCTCCTATTCCACAGACGATTAATAAACCACATGGGGCATGAGAGAGAGGAGGCCAGAGCTCTCTATGCATCAAAGGGGTGTCTGAACAATCTCAAGGAGGCGTGGGGGCATAGAGAGAAGTATCTGAAGATGCCCCCTCTTGAGACCAGGGTAGAGACCAGCAGGCTTTCCAGGCCAGGCTACAGGTGGGGTTTCCAGAGCCTTCCTTGGGCTCAGCTTCTTTCATATGTTATCTGCTAGGTGAGCCCTTTAGCCACTGGCCATCTCAAACCATCTTGGGCCAGGACAGGGGAAGGCCCCACCTGATACTTCAGACAGACCACCCACCTTCCAGAACTGCTCTGCGGAAACAGACTCAGATGTTATTTTAATTATAAAACCAAACCCAGCCCGTTGCCCCCACGCTGTAAGACCCCCTCCTCCATTTCCTACCTTCCCACCCTGAGATTGCTGCTGTTTTTCCAGGGACAGACCCACCGGAAGAGTTTCCAGGGTTCTGGAGGAACAACTATTTTTTTCTTCTGCTATTCTGGGCTGAAATTCTGCATAAACTGGAAAAACACACAGGAGACAGGATGGACGAGGCCACAGCCCCTGTGTGTGTGGTTAATCTTCCTTCCAAGGCACAGGCTGAAGCAGAATGACCAGGGCAGGATCTAGCCCTGCTGCCCCAGCTGTGTGACCCTGGGCAAGGCGTGGAAGCTTGTTCAGTAGGGCTTCAGGCCCCTCCTTGGTCAAATGAGGAAGACCAGTCACATGATATCCGAAGTCCATTCCTTCCTTCAGATATTTATTGAGTACCTACTTAGAGCACTGAACACCAAAAACATGGCCAGAAAGAAAAGCAACAAAGTCCCTGCTTTCAGGAAGTTAACATTCTAGTGGAGGGGGACAAACAGTAAACAAACAAATATGTATTGATAAATGTTATGAAGAACAATGAAGCAGGGTAAGGTGTTGGAGCACAACAGAAGTTGTTCCTTGGTATGGCGTGCTGAGAAAGGTCTTAGGAATCAGATGGCAATCTGGTAGAGACCGCAGGAGGTGGGGAAGCAAGCCACAAGGAAGGGAGAGAATGTTCCAGCAGGGGAACGGGAAGTGCAAAAAGAGCCTGAAAAGGCCAGTGTGGCTGCTGTGGAGTAGAGCGAGCAGGGGCTGAGGTACAGGCAATGAGATCTGAGAGGTGGGCCGTATCACGGGGAGGACAGCTTAACTTCACGGTGGTGAATGAGCCATAGGGTGGAAGCAGGATACCAGGCAGGAGCCTAATGATGGAGGCTTGGACCAAAGTGCCAGTATGAAGGTGGCTAAAGTAGTCCTGTGCTAGATTTCACACGTGTGCATGCACCTGCACTCATTCCCATCCACCCCACCCCTCACCCTCACCCAGCGCTAACACATGATTTCAGGATGCTCTCTTGCACAATCATCATCCAATACACACAGGCACGCAGGCTATTTAGAGCCCACACGTGAAGGGCGGGTCATGGTCGGATTCGATTCAAAACAAGACAGAGACTGCACCATTATTAACTTTCACTTCCTGAGTACAGACTGAAATTTAACAAAAGCTGGCTCATGAGTTTTCAAACCTTAATGTTGTAAGTCTATCTCTCAAACATCTAATAAGTGCCTACTTCATGGAAATATACCCACCGGGACACAACACCATAAACCTGTACTTAGGATTTTTTTCCTTAATTGATACATTTTCAAACAAATTCAATACCCAGTAGAATTCCCATTTTCTCCTTTTCCCATTTTTCTCACCCATATTCTGTTTAGTACATTTTATTTCAGTATCACATAAAAATTCATGTTCACTGAAGGGAAAAACCAGAAATTACAGAAGCAGTGGGTGATCAAAAGGAGAATGAGAATCACTCATAATTCCTCCCCTGGAAAAAGTGACATTAATGTTTTAGGGTATATATCCTTTCCAGACATTCTTCCATGCATGTAAATAAAATAAGCTCCTCAACACTCTGACACTCTATAGTGAACATTTTTCCACGTCAATGAATACTTCCATATCAGCACCACCATAACTAACTGCAACCTAGAATTTCAGTCTTTGGATACACCATAGTTTATTTATCTACCCTCCTACTGTGAATATGTAGGTTGTTTCAGACTTTACCATAGGTAATCGTGCTAGAGGAAACCTCCTTGTCCATGCGCCTATGCACACTTCCTTACTACTATTTCTATTTTTTGTTTCATTTTGTTGGAATCTGTGCATATTTAGAGGTGCCTTAAATCTTTTCTGGAAGAAGACTGAGAATAAATTGATGGATAACTAATATGTAGAGGCCAGGCCTATGGTCTCTCCGAGCAATGGCTCTATAGAATTTCTGAGGAAGAGTACAGAGATGTCTGAGAAGGAAGGCAGGCCCAGCAACGCGCCCTGGTGTGGAGTGGTCTGCCCTCACTGAACCGCTCTTGTCCTGAAAGAAGGTGGCTCGTGCCCAACAAACTGTGGGATTAACCCAAGTTGGGGCTCGAAGAAGTTAGGCTTTAAAAACTTTAATGTCCTGTCAGCTCTGACATACACTTGTTCTCTGATTCCTAAGATTCTGAGACTCTCACAGTGCACAGGGTATATGGGGCCAACGGGAGTGAGTAGGGGGCAGGCAGGGTTCATGCATTCATTCCTTTCCTCCAAAAACATTTGCTGTGTGCTTCCTAGATGCCAGGCCCTCTGTTAGATGCTAGAGATAAGGTAAATTATAGTCTTTACACTACGAAGCTCACAATCTAGGTGTAGAGCAGGGCATCACACCTTCAACATGCATATGATGTACTCACCAACCCATGAAAAGGTAGGTTCTGATCCAATAGGGCCAGGCAGGGGCCTGAGAACCTGCATTTCTACCAAGCTCCTAGGTAATGCTGGACCTGCTGGCCCGTGGACCGTACTCACTACACAGCTCTAGAGCTGTTCTGCCTATGTGACAGTCACTAGCCACGTGTGGCTGCTGAGCGCTTGAAATTCGGCCCATCCAAACTGAGATGTGTAGTAAATGTAGAATATACACCAGGTTTCAAAGACTTAGTGCAAAAGAAACGTGAAACGTCTTATTAACAATTTTTGTGTCGATTGTATATTGAAATGATAATATTTTGGATATATCATGTTAAATAAAAATACTTTTAAAATAATTTCACCTGTTTTCTTTTATGTTTTTAAGTGGCTACTAGATAATTTAAAATCACATGTGGTTCATATTATATTTTTACTGGAGAGGCTCTACTGGGGCAAGATGGTTCTCAAAGTGTAGTCTAAAGTCTGCAGATGCCAGAACCATCTTTGGAAGGGGGGGCGTGGTGTTAGTTAAAAATGCAGTTTCCTGGGCCCCATTCGGAAGTTTGTGAGGTTTTGCTGTGGTGCTAGAAATAGACAAGCAATTTCTGGAGTGACAGAGAACAGTGAGGATGTATGAAAAGGATCCTGTAGGCTCTGAAGGGGGAGGTCAGGGAAGGCTTCCTGTAGGAGATGAAGCCAGCTTTGTCCTGGCAGAGTCACATTCCCTGGGCCTTCCCTGCGAAAGAGCAGTGAACTGCCTCAGTGGGTTCACGTGTCTCCTGGAAGGCAGGGGTCATCTAACAGCCCCACAGATTTGAATTTCCCCTCAAAAGGCCTGTTGGAGGATGCTTTGCAGCTGGCCTCTCTCCACCTCCTCCTTCTCTAACACATTTTCTTCTTTCCCCACTCTGGCTTAGTCTGGGCCCTCCAGAGGCCAAGACAAACCCATCTGCCCAGAGTACTGGGTCAGCGGGTCCTCTCCAGAGCCCGGCAGGGTGAGTGCCCGGCAGGCCTGCACCGCTCCTCCCCAGCCCCCAGGAGCTGAGTCCAGGCACACCTGGCACCAATCCCCACCAACAGGGCCGAGCCACAGAGCCTCAGCATCTGCCCTCCCTGTCATCCCCAAGGCCCAGCGGCCAGGCAAAAAGGAAACACCAGCTGAAGGTGACATTTTCTCTGCCCACAGGTCACCTTTCAAAGAAAGCAGATCCCCTGGTTCAGACTCCAGAGCAAACCAAGCAAAGGCGGCCCAGCTGAGTTTACTCGGTATTGAGGGCTTGCAAAGCTGCGCGGTTCGTCATCTCCATGCAGGCGCAGTATGGCAGAGTGGCGGGCGATGGAATAAACATCTGGGCCATGTGTGATATACAATCTGAATGTTACCCCCCCGCCATGCCCTCCCCCCAGAAAGCCAGGCAAAGTGGGTCTGTAGCCTGGTCAGCACCCAGGTTTCAGGGCTGGCTTTGACAGATAAAACACTCACATGGAAGGCTGAGGGGGCTGCCTCGTGTGAAGAGGCCTGCCCAGGACTGAGTGCGTGGGCAGTGAGGCAGGAAGGCCCCGCCCAGCCTGGAGTTCGCTGCGACCACCTTTTCAGGCAGGAAGTGGATTCCCCTGTCACTCCAGCAAGGGCTTGACTCGGCTGGAAGAAAAGCAGGGCCCACTGCCAGGGTCCTTCTTAGAGAGAGAAGTGTCTGGCTAATGCAGCTCTTTGCAGCCACATCAGAACTTCGCGGCGTGTGGAGGATGCTGGGCTGTTTATCTAAGGGGTGGATAGTGTGAGAGATACAGAGCAGCTCAAATCCAAGAGCTGGCCCAGCCAGGGAAGCTGACTCGGCAGCTCTTCTTGGGCAGGGTTGAGCAGCAATAAACACTGAGGAGAGAGAAGGGTGGGCCCGAGCCCAGCTGGGGCACACGTGTAACCCAAGAGGCCGACTCCTCACCCTTCCGCGAGGGTGGGGTTCCCGGCCACTCCCGCTCTGGGGCTCCAACCCTCAAGCCTTAATCCTGTCACCATTTCCAGTTCAGGAACAAAGGGGACATTACCACAAGAGGTGGTGGGTTTCTTA